AATCTACAGCTGTGACATTTCAAAATCTGCACTGGAGAGTATCAACCTGACTTGTCTCAACAAATCTACAGCTGTGACATTTCAAAATCTGCACTGGAGAGTATCAACCTGACTTGTCTCAACAAATCTACAGCTGTGACATTTCAAAATCTGCACTGGAGAGTATCAACCTGACTTGTCTCAACAAATCTACAGCTGTGACATTTCAAAATCTGCACTGGAGAGTATCAACCTGACTTGTCTCAACAAATCTACAGCTGTGACATTTCAAAATCTGCACTGGAGAGTATCAACCTGACTTGTCTCAACAAATCTACAGCTGTGACATTTCAAAATCTGCACTGGAGAGTATCAACCTGACTTGTCTCAACAAATCTACAGCTGTGACATTTCAAAATCTGCACTGGAGAGTATCAACCTGACTTGTCTCAACAAATCTACAGCTGTGACATTTCAAAAGAAAAGTTTCTAATTTTGTTTGATTCAGATTTGAACATTTTCACCAACTCTAACAAGGCAAGCTTTGAGCAACTAGGTATTGAATGACAACTGATCAATGTACAAATGCTTTAAGTAATATTTGATCAGGTTTCCATACATATGTAAATGATGTATTCTCTTATCAAAGAGTACTAAACTTTGTAAATATTGTACCTAATCCAACTATAATAATACAAAATATCTCATTGGTATCCTGTCTCAGTTTCACTACAAACTTCACCTCTTTGTTTAATACCAGACTAAAAAATATCACCATGGTAACAGGGTATGCCTGTAGGCCTTGGTACACTACCAGAAATCTAGTATATTTCAATATCTGACCCTGTATTTAATGTCAAACTGTAAACATATTCTGGACACAATATTGCTATACACTGCAAATATGTGGTCACCGGAAAATATTAAAGCAGTTACCATGGTTACCAGATGTGTTGCTGCCTTTACCCAATACACAGCTGCATACATATCATTTTGTCTACCTTTAGAATTAAGTAAATTCTTCTCTAAATTATCCTGAATTTTTTCGAGTTTTTTGGGAGCTTCATCTTCTGCCCCCACATGAGGCCTCATCCCTTGGCCCACAGCCATGCTGATTCATTCTTTTCTAAGGTAAATCAAGATCTCACTTACAGTAGTGAACTGTACCCCTAAATCTGCTTACAACTAAATAACTTTTGTTGGTATAGATACTACACAGTAATAGATCTGGTCAGACTTATAATCTGGAACAGGTCTATTGTTAGATAGATATTGTAAGTCGTAAAATAAAAACTTGTGTATGTTCTGTTCCTTTTCTGGACATCCATTCATTATTCTTATGGTGCAAATGGGACTAAACTTTTCACGATCACATAAAACACGAAAATGGAACTAACGCTCAGGAAATGCCAATATACAGTATATACAGACATTATTGAATCTTCAATATCATTCAATATTTATTACACAGTAAAAAAATATCCCAGCTGATATGACTGTTTCAGACAAGAAACCTTCTTGTTTAGGAAGTATTTTGTGAGAATAACATGGCTACAATAATTCTGTCTGAGCACTGACCTACGTAGGCAAAGATCACAGGTGTAGGATTTGACACACCTTAAGTAGTTTGTCTTTCTCAGGAATCTGAAAAAAAACTGGTCTGTGCTGAAGTGGCTTTGACATTGGCAAGACGCTTTGACCTTGGGCAAGACGCTTTCCCTTAATTGCTTCGTGTGATATGCAACATGCCTTCTGTATATTGTTCAGTAAGGTACTGTCCAGCTAATACTTCAGTTTGTTAAGTCTAAAGCTATAGTTTATTATTGTAACAGAGGTCATTTTTCATCTCAATGCCTCCGCTAGGAATCGAACCCGGGACCCCTGGTTTACTAGTCTGACGCTCAACCAATCGAGCTAAAGAGAAGTTCTCTCTAGCCGAGTGGTATGTTGCGGCTAGTATTTTACCAGGGTTACATACTCCCCCTCCAGGAAATAACTCGTCCTTGAGTTTCCAGGGGTTACAGCGACGCCGGTGGGGCATGGCTAAGTACTATTCCCGGGTCCCTACATGGGCGCCAATGTAACAGAGGTCATTATTAATTTCAATGCCTCCACCAGGAATTGAACCCAGGACCCTTGGCTTACTAGTCTGATGCTTAACCAATTGAGCTAAAGAGAATGTCTCTCTCTAGCCGAGTGGTATGTTGTTATAATTAAATTGATACTTTGAAATCAGTAATTTTTACGGGAGATATATTTTTGTTGATTTTGCAGGACGTTAATTGATCTATATTTTCCATAAAATTAAACATCCATGAAATACCGACTTTTTAAAAATCCAAGAAAATTGAGCCCCATCAAAATATATGATTTTCCAGCAAGTATGCATTTATATATAAGGAATATAAGTAAACAATAAGTTTACAGTTATAAAGCTGGAGATCACCTGGAATTCAACATTAATACCCAACAAAGCTGATTAATATCCTTTATATATATTGCATTGACAAACTTGTTTTGAAACCTTAGATCATGATGAATGGTTGAAGTCAGAATACCACGCCCGCAATGATGGAAAATTCTTTCAATTAAAATAATGCATATTGAATTCAATAATCACACCCAGATTGATAAAAAAACATACATTTGAACAATTTACCAAATATAGGAGTGAAATATTTTATAATGAGAATAATATGAAACAGACTATACATGTAAAGATGTCACTATGTTGTTAACAACAGTGTCCACTGTCCAGTGTGACAGTAAAATTATATACTACACAATAATTACCATAGTAATTGAGGACTTCTGACTGAATCCTGGTTCATTCCTGTGAAATAGTTCGTAATTCAAAAAACATGAAGTATGGTGTGAATTAAATATAATGAAGAAATAAGGCAAACAAAATCTGTGTTTCAGCGGTTTCCTGACTGTCCCTACTTTTTTACTAACCCTGATTTTTTTTTAACATTTTGGCAAAATGTTATCTAGAATGACACCATGACAACACTGTAAATAAATATCTGTTATTTTAACAGGGTGTTTCATCATTAGCTCTGACTTCCCTCAATACCACACGTGGTGTTGATACTACTGCTGAAAACATATTAACAACTATATATATGATTTAAATATAGCTGGAAATGTTGATGACATGTCTCTCCTTAGGTTACGCAACACTAATTCATGTCTCTGACAAGTGTTCAAACTAAAACAGTTAAATAACAATTTTTTTTTTCTACTTTGAGCTTGGGTCCATTAAGTCTACTGTGTACTGTAGATCACCTTGTCCATGTGTTCATGCATCTGTGTGGAAGAAATTTGGCACTTGATAGTACAGGGCACTTACACAAACTTGATACACTGTACAAGTATATAAACCATTCCTTAATCAAGATGTATCACTTGTGAAGCCAGTGTCAAAAGTTATCAAACATTTAAGAAAAATCCTTACCTTTATGTACTGACACTAATGTTTTTCAGGTAGAAACCAGAAAGACAGATTTTTTCTTTTTTGTCTGGTCTTACCCTGGAATGCTTTCCAACTATACAAATAAAATTATACAAAATATGTACATGTACGACATTGGTTCTGATAAAAAAACTAATTCATTTAAAAGAGAAAGTTAACATTACATTCCAATGTGATAAAGAAAAAATATGATATTATCTCCCTTTATCAAAATGTCCCCTGTAACTAAATCATTGTCTGTGATGTGAATATGACACAGACAAGAAGAAAATATCAAACCTGTATCCATAGTGATTTGAAAGAGACACATATAAGCATCTGAGATGATATTGACATCTAAATTTTCAGAGTAGCTGAATTTGATTCAATCACAATGAATTTTAAGAGCAGTAATTAACAAAAACAGAGTATGACTTTGTGAACAAATTTTAAGAGCATTAGATGAGTTAGACTCAATCACTAGATAAATTCACAGGTGCGGTATCTGAACTGACCTGTGCACAATTAAGCTTGGAGAGCAGTTTACATTTTGATTTCACCACTTCACAAAGTATAAAAACAAGAGGCCTAAGGGCCTTACCAGTCACCTGAGTCACCATGCTTCTTGTAACACATCATAGAAATGAATTTGTTAAAAAGCAAATAATACAACTTTAACTATATTGTACACATGATGCAAATGTAAATTGTGTATACATTTACTGCTGTCCTATGCTAAGGCTTATAACCAAGTTTGAATTAAAAGAAATCACACTCAAAATTTGAATTTTGTATATAAAATTTTCCATGCAGGAACAGTAGAATGTCTTTGAAATTTCAGTCAACCTGATCCAATTTTGGCCCCGCCAATCAGTTCCTGAGGGTCAGCCAAGGTTAATATTTACATCTCACTACGCTGTCATCTTAAATTAACAATTCTAACCAAGTCTGAACTATTTCCAATAGAAATCAAATAATGTTCAAAAATGTGATTTTTTTCTATATAAACTATATTAAACTTTACTGCCTCCCCAAAGAGAAGTGTGAGACCCTGGGGTCAGGAAATCTGAAGGTCTTTCCATCCACAAATACTTGATTCAACCGTACCTGGGATTTGAGAAGAAGACTTTTGAAGTTTCAATCAATTTGACCCTTTCTGTCCCTGCCTCTCAGGTCCCTGGGGGTTGGGGACCATATAATTTACAATTTTGGTGCACCTTTAACCATGGAAGGTTTTCGTAAAATTTAATTGAAATCGGTTTCTGAGCTTTCCAGAAGAAATTGATAATGATAAAAGTTTATGACGCACGACGTCCGACAAAAGGGGATCAGGTGACCTAAAATCAGAACAATTGAAATATTTCAATCTTTATAGACCTCAAAAAGATCTATTTCTGATAACATGGCCAACTCAATATTTTAAGCCTTTATGTATTAACCATTAATTGGTCAATATTCCAGGAAAGGACTATTTACGTCAAACAAGTTCCTTCTTTATATATTTAAGAAAAAAACTATTTAAAATAATACATTTTTCTGATAGACCTACCAAACTTTTCCAGGCAATGTTTAGCAGAAACATGTATTGTTCTTTAGGCACAAGGAAATTTCTCTAATTAATATCACAGGGGGGAAAACAGACTGAAAATCTTCAAAGAAATATTACACATCTTCAAGTTACAGTAAGTGTTTGATTACCTCTTTTGTTAGAGAGTCAGTGTGGGATTTATTAATTAGTTTTTTTAACAAGTGTGTCATAAATTATGATTTTAGAGAATAAATTGGACATTAAATTTCTCAGCCAGTTTCCTCAGAAGCCCAGTTTCCTTCACTGTGCCTATAACCACTTCCTTTGTGAGTCGGTGGTAAATAGTCGGAACCATTTTCATACCATTGAGTTTAGGGTCATCTGTGTTGGTCTCTTTCTTGGACACGTTCTGCGACACCTCGATAAGAATAGTAAGGAAATCACGTTTACAGATTTCTCCACTGCGTATATACTGTTTAAACACATTGTATAGGTTTGCTAACAACCATCCACCTTCTGTTGTACTTCTCCATGCCAGTTTTCCTGTCAAATCAAATTTTAAATCATTTAACGTCATTTTTCAATAACAATTTTTAATAATGATGTGCAAATGTAATTCTGTATGAGTAAAAACTTTCATTGACATGTCCAGGGTTTGATTCCCTAATGTGTTAAGCTATGAATCACCTATGATGATAATGATGATGGTGGTGGTTTCTCGTTTCCGTGAGTCTGCCCGTTGCTGGGCTTTGTCCAAGTGACGTGTGTCGATTCTCTGGCAACGTGAAGGGGGTGCTCCCCTCATGGGTACCAGATCACCTGCCTGGGTTTTCCTAAAGTACCCAAATTAACTCCTTCAGTTAGACCCCTTACACAATTCCATCAAGGCCAACAAGACTGATCAGTGTAAACTAACAGCTTGTTTCAAAATTGTTGTAAAATAAATGAAATTAACATTTAATAAAGAGAAATTAAATGAAGGCAAAAGTTTGATATCAAAACTGAAAGTCATAAAAATGGGAAATGAACAGTTTTTGTGAGGAATAAAACCCTGGGCACATGATCATCATATACAGTAATGGGTTCTGGTATGTTCTATGTATTTACAGTCAAAACAATAAAGCAGAGAGCAATTCAGATGTTTCACTTGAACCAAATCTACTGAAAATCTGAACATATTTAACATGGTCCCCTAGTACACTATTAAAATATATTGATTGTAGTGAACAAATATTTCAGTCTCTATCGACAGCAGAATCACTCAAAACATTCCCCACCCCCTCAAACCTAGTGGGTGTTTTTGAATGTGTGTTGTAACTATCAAATACCTACAGATCTACTGTGATTACAGCTATAGGTATTAATAGTTTACTTTGGTTTGTTTACCTGTGATCACATGACCTTGGTATTGACAGTTTACTGTGCTATGTTTACCTGTGATCACATGACCTTGGTATTGACAGTTTACTGTTCTATGTTTACCTGTGATCACATGACCTTGGTATTGACAGTTTACTGTGCTATGTTTACCTGTGATCACATGACCTTGGTATTAACAGTTTACTGTTCTATCTTTACCTGTGATCACATGACCTTGGTATTAACAGTTTACTGTTCTATCTTTACAAGTGGTCACATGACCTTGGTATTGACAGTTTACCATTCTACGTTTATCTGTGATCACATGACCTTGGTATTGACAGTTTACTGTGCTATGTTTACCTGTGATCACATGACCTTGGTATTGACAGTTTACTGTGCTATGTTTACCGTGATCACATGACCTTGGTATTGACAGTTTACTGTGCTATGTTTACCGTGATCACATGACCTTGGTATTGACAGTTTACTGTGCTATGTTTACCTGTGATCACATGACATTTCTGGAAATACTTAATTTTTGTATTGTGGGACCCAATGTTTTCATGAAAATTGTAGATTGACCATGGGATTATTACCTGGTGGGGACGCAAACATCACCAACATGTCTGTATGACATGGGATAGCAGTAACTTCCATGACCTCCGCCACTTGTACATCAGTATTCACCTTGGGTCTACGTTGACCTCTAGCATCTGCCTGGTCTGTGGTCACAGGTGTGACAGCCTCTATGTGTAAGACTTTAATCTCCGGTTTGACATCACCTTCAGGGACACCTTTGTCCTGTTTAGACCAGTCCCTGTTTCTGATATCAGCATGTCCTGTCTGTAACAATCAAAATGAATTCTTATAATATTTCACATATAATAAAGAGACGTTTTTCTGTGTTGATGTGATCTGGGGATGAAAGCAGAATGGTAAGTTGAGAGAGGTTGTGTCAGGAGTCAAGGTGGAGGGTCAAAGACCAAAGGTCACAGAGGATATGGTTGAAGTCATGAGATCCATTTTACATCTCCATTATCATTTTTTGAACAGAAGTTTAAATACTTTCATTTCATCAACGTTATTGTAGATGCTGATGTCTCAGTTTAAGTGAATTGCCACACCAGGTAGGAATTCATTTCTGTAAGAGTTGTTATCAGAGCAAGACTCACTTTTACCGTATTATTTCTTACATCTGTCAACATTAAGAAATCATTACCTGAGGAAGATAAATCCTTGTCTGTATCATTAAATTCAGTATTATTTTTCTGTGGTAGACTCCACTGATCTGTTTGATATTCAACACCAGAAGTTTCATTGGGAAACTTTCACTTCACTATCACTTTCATCGGAATCAATTTCTGCCCATTTTTTATCATCAGAGTCAATTTCTAGCTTTACACTTCTTTTAGTCATTAGAATCATTAAAAAAGAGACCCTCCCTCTACCATCATCATCAATCACAATCAATTTCTAGGGTAGAATGTCTTTTAATAAGATACCAGAACATTATTAAGAGAGACACATGCTTACAAACCTCTCGGTCTTCATCATCCTCTGATTCTCCATCTGTGGTTGCCGTGTCGTAACCGTCCGAGAACTGATCCTCGTCGCTCTCCGTGAAGTCTGTACCTAATATATCCTCTAGTTCATCAAGTGGAACATCTAAAAACATCAATATTTATATTTTATAAATATATCTTAGACATCATAAGGGGGGGGTGGGGGTGGGAGGGGTTTGGGGTTTGCGGGGCGGGGGGGGCTGTGAGGTGGGAGGAGGAAGGTGTGTGTAAGATTCTGGACAAAAAACATGTCATGATTTTGTCATTTAAATATTGTAAAAGTTGTTCTTTCAAATGTTTCCTGTTTTTGCTATTTTAGAAGGCCTGATAAAATCATGAAAAATAGATAACTAAAATGAGGTCCAGAGGGCCTGTATCGCTCACCAAGACATTTAAGTCCATAATGCAAAACTTTACGTTTCTTTGGAAAGAAAATATTTCCCCTGATGAGCCTCACCCCATTGATACAGCTTCCCTAGTGATATGACCAGAAATCAGTTGTTAATTGCTTGAGGTCCAGCAATGCTAGTAAGTTATGGGATGATAATCTCTAATACTTCAAAGAATCTGTCCTTGTGCAGGACCAGACCCCAGGACAAATTATCAATTATAATTGTGTTTATCTCCTGATGCTAGCAATGCTATAGTTATTCCGTGGCATCACAACTGTTTCAAAGAACCAAAGATGATCCAAATGAATAAGACCAACCATTTATACAAACCTGATTTTACTTCGCCCAAGCATAATTCAAAAAAAAATATTGACAATATCCTGCAATTCCTAAAGAACATGATAGATTTTAGAGAAATTGATTGCTATTCACTATTTGGCCCCAACCCTTCAGGCCCTGTACCAAACCCACCAATTACACGACATTGGTTCCTCTTTCTGCGAGGATGCTTCGGACCAAATGTGATTAAATCTGATCTATTGTTCATGAATAGTTGCAATATAAAGTAAAAGTTGACAGAGGCTGAACGCCAGATGCTGTGGTATCCCTATAGCTAACCTGGCCCGAAATTCAACTCCTGAAAGATTACAGCTGTGGCTGTCTGGATACTTACCTGTCTGGTTTTGTTTACTGTCAGCACCATCCAATTTACTGTTTGTTGACAATTTCTGTCTCATTCGTCGATGTTTAGACACTTTTGCCGACACAATGTACTGGACCGTCACACCGGAGTCCACAGCCTGACTACGGTCTTTACTGTACAATGACTCTCTACATGCCTGTCAAAAAATACTACGATTGTGAGATTTTAACATTACAAATACTACAAAGAGTACACTGGGACAGGTGTGATATATACCGAGTAATGAATAAGACTAATAACTTCATTTAAGTTTCATTTATTTTAATTGATGTTCAATGTAATTTTTGTACTTCATACCTTGTGATCAAATCTACATTGAAAAGAAACTCATCATCAGTCGTTATTTATAACCAGCTATCTAGCAGTAGCTCGGAAATCAGAAGATTACCCCTTTTTTTAATAACATGATTAGGAGGCAGGGCCAGGTATGGAAAACGGGGAAACTCTCAACTGAATTGGAAAAGTTGGCAGGCATGACTTAAGTAAGATCCTGCAGTGAAATACAACTTACTACATTGAAATACAAACTTACTACATTGAAATAATTGTTATCATATAGTTCACATCAGGGACTGAATATTTTTTCACATCTGTAAAGTTATAGAATACAATCTGTTTAAGTTCTGGCTCACCTGAATAAAGAAAAGTTTTGGTTTTTCTGTCATGTAGTGACACTTGTCCTCGGAAAAATAATCCACCAGGTTTTTGGTGAGAACTCGCTTGCCATCAACACCTACAATGGCATGTTCTATTGTTCTCTTGTTTGATTTCAAATCGTGTTCTGGCCACTGTTCACCATGGGAACTAATTACACAAATAAAGCAAGGTCGTTCAGCAAGGTCAGGTCTCATGGACGCTGAATAGAGAAAATCAAGAACCATTTAGCAACAAAATGAAACAGCAGCGCCAGCAAAATAGATGGCCTTGACGGTCAGCTGAGATAAGCATATATTGAATATATAGGTTAAAGGATAGTCAACAAGTGCTGTGAAACAGAAATTATCGCAATGAATATAGTCAGATAGTGTCAATACATGCATATCATCAAAACTGTCATTATATACTAATGATTCTTAATTCCAGTGGGAAATAACCAACATTATGCTAAAAATGCAATTTTTCTATGAAAATTACAGTATAGGCTAAAGAGCATTCCTCTCCAGGAAATGCATGGCTCAATTTGGTAATTAAAGCACCTTAAGATGCTTTCATTCATGAAGAGCATTTGATGCTACCATATTTGGGTTTTGAGAAGATTTCTAAAAATTTCAGTCAATTTGACTGCTTATAGCCTCACCCCTAAGGGCCCTATAGAAAGCATATATAACAATATTTCTGTACACAAAATTTCTCAATAAATAAAATATTTTGTTCCCAAAATTACTACAAAAACCATTGCTAATGTATATATGCAACAAAATAACTTGAGTCCAGCATTGGCACTTGATTGTTATTTGCAGATAAAGTTATCAATAACCAATTTTGTACTTACCATTCCGTAAGATAGAAGTGATCTCCTCGGCTGTTTTGTCATAGTATGTCATGAGTTTTAAGTTGAGTGGTTTGAACAGTTTCTTCATGTTTTTGTAGTCCGTGTAAGCACCACATCTATTAGGATAGCCTTCGGCAGAAAACCTTTCATTAACGATGATATAAACAAGGCCACGTCTCTGACATTTCTTAAAGTCATATTGCATGTCCTGGTCCATGTCTTCTGATCTTGACCGTCTTCACATCCAATCTGTAATAAAGTAAGTGAAAGTGAAACATTGTCTTAAAGTTGCCCAATGTTATTACTGCCAACATGAGAACTTTGTAATACAGTTAAGTTTATTATTGCTTTACATCCTATTAACAGCCAGGGTCATTGAAGGACGTGCCAGGTTTGGGTGGTGGAGGTAAGCTGGAGTTCACAGAGAAAAAACACAGACCTGCCACTAGTACCTAGTGACTGCCCCGCTTATGTTACCTTGGTGTGGGCTAGTGATAGTCAGACACCTTAACCATTTGACCACTGTGGTCCCTTGGTGTGGGCTAGTGATAGACACCTTAACCATCAGACCACCACAGCCCCCGGTGTGGGCTAGTGATAGTCAGACACCTTAACGATTTGACCTCCGCGCTCCTTGGTGTGGGCTAGAGATAGGCAGACACCTTAACCATTTGACCACCTCAGCCCCTGGTGTGGGCTAGTGATAGTCAGACACCTTAACCATTTGACCACCACAGCCCCTGGTGTGGGCTAGTGTTTAACTCCTTGGTGTGGGCTAGAGAGAGTCAGACACCTTAACCATTTGACCACCACAGCCCCTTGGTGTGGGCTAGAGAGAATCAGACACCTTAACCATTTGACCACCGAGGCCCCTTGGTGTGGGCTAGTGATAGTCAGACACCTTAACCATTTGACCACCACAGCCCCCAGTGTGGGCTAGTGACAGTCAGACACCTTAACCATTTGACCTCCGCGACTCCTTGGTGTGGGCTAGAGATAGGCAGACACATTAACCATTTGACTACCACAGCCCCTTGGTGTGGGCTAGAGAGAGTCAGACATCTTAACCATTTGACTACCACAGCCCCCAGTGTGGGCTAGAGAGAGTCAGACATCTTAACCATTTGACCACCGCGACCGCTTGGTGTGGGCTAGTGATAGACACCTTAACCATTTGACCACCACAGCCCTCGGTGTGGGCTATTGATAGTCAGACACCTTAACCATTTGACCTCCGCAACCCCTTGGTGGAGGGCTAGCGATAGTCAGACACTTTAACCATTTGACCACCACGACCCCTCGGTGTGGGCTAGTTATATTCAAACACCTTAACCATTTGACCACCTCAGCCCCTGGTGTGGGCTAGTGATAGTCAGACACCTTAACCATTTGACCACCACAGCCCCCGGTGTGGGCTAGTGACAGTCAGACACATTAACCATTTGACCATCATGGCCCCTTGGTGTGGGCTAGTGATAGTCAGACACCTTAACCATTTGACCACTGAGGCCCCTTGGTGTGGGCTAGTGATAGTCAGATACCTTAACCATTTGACCACCACGGCCCCTTGGTTGAATGATTATTACAATGAAATAGTATTTAAACAAAACAAAACAAACATTACAGTAAATAGACATGAGTGGGTTTATTACAGAGAATAGACTTTTAGCAGGATAAATAAGGCACTTACATTCAGTTAAAACAATGATTTTTAGTACTACACATCTATGTACAACAGTTTAAATTTCCTTCTGGGAAATATCAATAATGCAAATATTTCCTTATTAAATGTTATCAAGGTGATTTTTGTATATTTTGGAAAGTAAACATCATTTGACTATCTTAAACTAAGATTCACTTCCCGTTATGGATGGTAAATGTAAATATTTTGATAAATCAATAATTAAGTTAAAGTTCATTTCATTGTTATCTTGATTTTCTTCTAATTTCAGCAAAATAAAATTTTTTAAAAATTTCGTGAAAATAAATGTTTTTCTTTCACTTTCTTGGGCATATTTCTTAAGATTATCATCATCAATATTTTTAGAACATGTGATAATAAATCTGCTTTGTGTGACGGTCAGCATCAACTTCTCATCAAGCTTTATAGCTATGAATTGAAAAAAAAACCAAATCAAAACACAATTTATTACAGATGGAAGTAAAACTAAAATATCTGCATATTGCTGACTGTATAATTCATGATGGACTCTAAAGGATTTTTAAAGTTTTATTTGTCGACAAGAATGATGAAAATAGAACTTCTGATTACAATCTGTTAATAACCAATAAATTCTTTAAATTCTCTGTATTTTTTTTCTATGGATCAATCGTGTTCGTATATATACATCTGTATTTGTTAGAAAACAGCCCCATTGGTCCTGAATAGCCTACCTGTTCTTAATCATTTGTTATAACATCATACACAAGATAAAAAACACCTTTTAGAGATATTTATAAATGTCTCTAAAAAATCTCATCCTGAATAAAAGCAAATCATTGGCTTAATAATTCTCTTGTTTGTGAGAAACAATTTTTGTCGTCCAGTATTGTTTGTGTAATATCCTTAACAGGACCGGTCCAGCTGCTCCTTTGTTTAAGATGAGTCAAAAGTAGATTAAAACATACAAAAAGGTATACGCCGTACTTGTAGTAAATTTTGAGTGGGTTACATGGTCCATTGCTTGGACACCTCCAGGTATGCGAGGCGATTGAAGAGCAGTAAGGAACTAAGGGGTAAGAGGCAATCACAACAATCTCAGGATTCTGGACTTTTGTTTATTACTGTTCGTCTACCGGTTTTACCCGAAACATATGAGCTTCTTTAGGACCAGGTCCTGAAAAAGTAGATGAAGATTTTCCCACTGGTACCACACCTGTATCTGGAACGTAAACAACACAAGCAAAATCCAGTCCACGATGCTTTCTGTATGATACAGAGTGGATTGGATTTTTTATAATGTTGCTTATGTTCCAAACACAGGTGTCTCATGCTTGTACCAGCTGAAATGAGAGGGTTGTATTGTAAAGAATTTTCATGAATCCTGACAAGGTTGAGGGGGTCATGATGCGTTATATAAGAGTTGGAGAGTAAGGTTTTTATACAAGCACAAAGAAAGAAAATTATAATTTTCTGTAGATATACCCATGATAAACTATAATAGTATAAAATGTATGAATTCCAGTCAAAAAAGCTAACAGTTTGGTTGCTATTGAAAAACTTTCAATATTAAGAATTTTCACATATTACACAAGCATTATAACCATGTATCAAAGTTTGATTGAAATTTGGGACATGCAAATGCAAAAAATCTGGTGAAAAAATGAAACCTAATTACAAGATGTCTCCCAAATGAAAATGCAGTCGTTGAAAGAGGTATTCCATACAGTCAGATCAGAACGTCAAATTGTCTCAGAGCAATAAAGACAATCGAAGTTGCTGAATAATTCTTGTGTTCTATCAAATTTCTTATATTTGATGATGATCAATTCCATACTGGTGTGGATAAAAAAGTAAACTAAGACATCAGAGTCATTTGGACTATGAAAGTAAAACCAGTAAAACAATATAGAAAATGTTTTATCTGTAAGAACTTTTAAAATTCAAATTAGATTAAAGCATCAAAACACTGCAGGCTTATACATCATTAATAAATACATGAAAGTCACTTTCTTAATGATAACAGTTAATTATCAATGCAAAATCAATGAATTAATACAAATCTGAACACTCTTATAGAAATATTTGAAATTGAATTTCCCCTCAACCTTTTCTGGTAGCATGTTATGTTTCCTCATAATATAAGGGTATTGAGTGATGGTTCCTCAGGCTCTATAAGAACGCTTTATCAAAATGGGACTTCATATTGTTTCAAAGAATCTTAAATTTCTATCATAACTATTTAGCCATTATACTTTTTTAACAGCCTTGGGGTATGCTTTTTTTAAAATTTAAGTGATAATGCATCAATAATGCATTGATGCATGATGAACTCAATTTACATGGCCATCAGATAATAAATACCAACACTGCCAGGGTTTTCCATAAGAGCCGGTCGCCAGCCAATTTGACCGGCTACTTTGATCATTTGGCCGCCTACACCAATCCAGTTCTGTAATAATCTTCCGTACACGACTACACGTACACGGCAGGCCAGCCTCCTACTTTCACTACACAGCCTACTACTAACAAAATTATGGAAAACCCTGACTGCCTACTAGGGTGCAATATTATGGTTTTTTGGGGTATTACATATACAATGTATGTGATAGTTCATGACATGTATACATATAGCAACATACCTATATACCAAGGAAGTGTAACAAAACATTATATTGCTCATTTATTTCATACCCATCATCTATTGATATATATATATGCGTGATCAATGTCAAAACGACCATACTGGCAAGTGAACTGTGAAATTTTTTCAGGCAATCTGTCCCTTTATTAAGACACAAATATTACATAAACTACATCACATACATGAAACATCAATTAAATACAAAGTTTTAAATTAAAATATATTTATCAAGATCCGTAGTGTAAATTTAGGTGTCTCCATAATCCCATAACTGATGGATGCTGAAGGCCCTTTATAAGGGACAAAAAAAATCTTAACAGTTAAGGTATGAAAGATGGTGATTCAATATATATATTTATCTTGCGACTGGCACTGCTATGGTTGGAATACACCTACCGAATATTTTTTTGCTGTATTTGGCAGCGACAGCTGTATTTTAGCATGTGCTGTAATTCAACAGAATTACTCTCTGAATTTACTTAAAATATATAAATAGTTGTTGAAATAGTGGATTTTACATGATGTAATGAACACACTGATTTATGAAAATCTGTAAAATCGCTGTTATATCTGACAAAGTTTGGAACTATTTTTACATGTAGACCTATTCAGGGTTTGTCATAAGAGCCGGTCGCCGGCCAATTTGACCGACTACTTTGATCATTTGGCCGCCTACACCAATCCAGTTCCGTAATAATGTTCTGTACACGACTACACATACATGGCAGGCAAGCCTCCTACTTTCACTACACAGCCTACTACTAACAAAATTATGGAAAACCCTGGCTATTATTTTGTCCTCTGCCATCAGACAACATTCAGTGTAATGTCAATGTCAGGTAAACACTGATTTTCAGTCAATGTTGCAGGATAAATATAGGCTTGCCACTTTTGACTTTCTTCATCCTTGCCAAAATACAGCTTATATTCTAAGACACTGACCATGTATTCTCAAGATATCTACATCTATGGCCACATTGAATCGAAATCCTAAAACCTAACGTATGTGCTAAAAATAGTTTAACTAGAAAAACTAAAAATAACTTTTATAACAGTGAACAATAAAGAATACAATGTAAGGACCTTACTTGTCAAACTTTAATCACCCAAATATTTAAGAGAATAGATATTTAATCGGAACTAGAGTCTAGAGATATTAAGTGTTGATTTTAAAATGTATGTACTGCACCCATCTGATCTGTCAGTGAGTTGACGTAAGCTTATAATATCAAATACACTCAGCATAACTTTTTCAATTATTTTGACTGAATACAAATAATTTTTTCCCAATAATTCGATGATTAACCGATCTCTCCTGAGTTACCTCAAACTGTCAATCTCACCTTCTGTACCTCAATTCTCCTCCTCAACTTTCGTTTCTCTACCTAGAAAACACGGAAGTAAATGTTTACTTAAAAAACCATACACGGGATATAAATTTCCGGATTGGAATATAATCTTCGTGGCAGAGACCTAGAGCAAGATGATGTTCCAGGTTAGTGGGACACTAAAATATATTAGACATAAACTGCGATTTATTTTTCGCTTTATGCAGAATATTATTAAGACAAAACATACTGCCTGTTATGCGTCCATGTTTGAACCCTTATATCTACCTCAGTAGTATGATTTTTTTTCTCTTTTTGTTAAAACTTGTTCTGAAAATACAACCGTTAGTAAAAGAAAGAAAGAAACATGAAAAGGAACATGCAAATCCAAAATATAACCTAGGTATACTTTGCAAGGATAATTTCTTTAATTTAATGTCGTGTTAGTAGAGCTCTTCCGTCTGTAACATAAGAACAGTAACTGACACATTGAAATGAGATCATGCCTGGCTGAATAAATAATGAAACAGGTTCGCTCCTGTAGATGCACTGCCCACACATTATATATTGAGTATATGTTAAATAAGTGGCATCAGAGACGTATATATCATACGAAGACTTGTCTGAAAACGTGTGTCTAATTAAAACCATCATTGAAAAACATCAACAGAAATTCTTTGTTCAGGAACACCTGACATTTTTCCTTGGTCCCGTTTTTTTTTTTTTTTTTTAAATAAGGAATATTAAATTGCGCCAATTTCCATTAAACAGACATTAAACACTTGGACTGTCCCCCTTTGGGTCTTATGAATTTTAAGACTGTGTTATTGCATTTAAACACAAAGAAATTCACTATGTATGGCAAAGTTTTGGTATGAATTGTTAATAAGGAGTAACACACTATGGCGTGATAATCATTGTCAGATTTAGGATTTTCAGTATGGGAAAGGGGGGGGGGGGGGGGGGGGGGGGTGGTGGTGGGGGGGGGGGGTGGGAGGGGGAGGGGAGGCAAATTGGTTAGAGTTGCATGTTTGCATGTCGTGCTTGTTTTTCGTGTTTCATTTTCATGTCTTTATTTCATGCTTTTTTTCTTGCTTGTATTTCGTGCCTGTATTTCGGCTGTTTTTCATGTATATATTTCGTGGCTGTCAAATTCGTGTAATTTCTAGCCTGAAGATTAATTGCTGAAAATGATTAAAATAGTCACCAGAAAAATGTAACTCATTACAACCAAGTTACACCATCAAACACTTCTCTCGTTTGGGTAAATTTGGAAGGATATATACGGTAATCGTGGTAAATAAGGGTATTTCCCTAATTTCCCCCACACCCACGTATCTTGTATATTAGAAGGGTATATACGGTACATCCGGAAAGAGCGGGGATTCCCCTCGTTTTCCAATTTGACTATTGATATTTAAACCAGACCCAAATTTAGACCACAGTTGTCAGCAAGGTAGGGAGGTGGGAGGACCGCGTCATGCCTCCCTTTGCAGGACGCTATATGAAGATGGATAGCTAGGAGCGCCACGATCGTTAAATTACCTTCTTAAATCATCACGGGTAGGTTTAAAGGATATATCGATTTTGCAAGTTTAATTATATCTAGGAATAGATTTTTTTAAAAATATATAATTTATATTAAAAATCATATAAGAATGTTTCTGGCATATTTGCATTTTTAGACAAACTATTTTTACTAATATCAGATACACCTGGGACGTATAATACGTTATATACGTCCCTGAATACACACATGGATGAAGAATGAAGTCTTTGTTTAAGAGATATTCAGTGCTAATGCAAATTAATTAAGAGGGAAGTGTTTGCCGGGATTTTGCATATGGGAAAACTTCCTGTTGGTGATAATGTGTTTGCCATTTCTGGGGAAAAAACTAACAGCTGATATTAAAATCAACAGTCAGCTCCAAGATCCCGCATGGACCAACGCTCTCGACCACGTTTTAGCTGGAAATCATGGATGATGGCACTCGTATACGAGTTGCCTCCCTTGGCCAACTAGGACATGACCTTTACCCTATTGCAGTTCGGTCTGAAACAACAAAATCTTTTGACCAGCTAAGACGCCGCGTTTAACACCATTGAGAGAGACAACTGACTCTTGGTATGTATAAAATTAAATTTTTTATTCGTGATATTTTGAGGTAAGCTTTCCTATATCTCGGAACATGTTGTACAGGATGAGACATGTTGTTAGGAGTAGGACGCGGTACCGGGTAATGACACTTCCTGAAATTCACAGACAGAAATGTCACATGTGTAATTAAATTCAAAATTTTGCAATTATAACTTATAGAAAGAAGGATAAAAAAGTAAGAAAAAAAGGAAGAAAAAGAAGAAAAACAAAACAGAAAAAATACCAGCAATATTATTGGCGCAATGACATCTTGTTTACTATCTGCACGGACACACGTGATTGATGCCACTCAAGGGTTCGACAAACACTAGCAACATATATATTTTCATATATTTTTTTTCATTTAATTTTATTTTTGATTTATAAAACTATATTTTTAATATAAAATTTTGAGTGGCATAACATTTTAAATTTAGATTTATATAAAAAAATTGTTTGGTCTATGATAATTTTTCAACCAGTTGAACGTAATATTGTTGTAGATCAGTGTTGTTCTATATCTCTATAGTATACCCTTGTAATTGTTTCTTCTCAAAGAAAACAGACTCATGGTACATTGAAAACTTTTTGTGAGACCATGCATTTTATCTTCCAACTCTACAGCAGTATTTATATTTTTGGTGGGAGGGCATTGGTTGTGATCAACATGGAAACAGAATGGCTTAATGGTGAACTCCAATTTGGTTTTAGCATGTACAAAGGGATGTGCTAATATATTGATAATGAAACCTTGGGTGTTTTAAGGTGATAATCCTTTACCATGTACTTGAAATTTTTTTAGAGCTTACTTAAAAATGTGAATGTAATTATGTAAGAGAGAAGAAATATTTTATTTTTTTGTGCAATATGAAGCTGAACATGTTTGATGCCTGTTGGCACAACCTTATTTTAATTAGAGAACATGGCATTATTGACTTGGAATGACCAAGATTTACAAGGCGGGTGTTGTTGATACAACAGAAGATTCTTATCCTTCTTGTCTTAATCTCCTTGTACTTTTTCAGAGTCTCTCTGGAAATCTATTGTTCTTACTTTCCCTAGCTTTAATGAATTTGTGTTAATGTTCCGTGATTATGATGGTGTGTTTTTTTTCTGTTGTTGTAACAATTTGTATGTAATCCTTTCATCCTTTTAGGAATACTTTATTACAATTAACTTCCATCTATCAGAGAAAATAATGGATACAGAGAAAGATCTCATTTCCATGGCAACAGAAGCGCTACAAGCTCATACACGTTTGACTTATAAATTACCTAGAGCCTCAAAAGGTGAGTAAAATTTCTTAAAATTTGTGAAATTTATAGGTTGTCTTTATCCTTAGTGACAAGATTTATATATAAAAACAAGAAGATTCCAGCCTGAATAACATGTTTATGTTTTAGTACAAATCATCAACGTAATTGAAAAATGTTGCTAAACGATATTAAAATGAACATCAATATTGAATAGAGCAATATTGTATCAGCAGATTTGTCATTTTAATTTATCATAGCAGATGTATTTTGTGGAGAAAACCCAGTTATTTTATCTTTTGTCAAAAAAATTTTACAATTTGGCAGATCCTAGAAAAAAAACAAAAAAAACAAAAATCCAAAAACGAATAAAAAGAAAAATGAAACCAAAATTCCAAATGTATGAATTTGAACTCTTGTTTATAGAAGGTACAATATGATCTATGACACTCCCAGCTTTAAGTGAAATTGACTCCACCATATTTCATTTTCAGTCCATGAAAAAGCTTGTGAGACTTTAGACAATCTGAGAGACATTAAGGCAGAACTTGACGGATCAAATGCGAACTTTGACCCTCCACAAATCAAGCGTGACCAGTTCACAGAATTTCGTCAGCTGACACTAATGCATGTGCCATCATCTGTGACGGAGGAGGTCAAAGTAAAATTCAACAATTTTGTCACTCACGCATTCAAAGGTACAAAAAACAGTCTTTTCTACATGAATATTTATTGTAATTTTCACTAAGATGCGTATGCAAAAACACTGTGTTTTTCACTAATCCACACTACTGTCAGGCAATTTTATTAAAATATAATTAATTCAGAATTAAACCTCAATTAAAACTTGAAAAATCATTAATCATGGTCTTAATTGCAGTTGTATAAAAAGTGTGACTTTCATTAGTCACTTAACATGAACATTAGTTAGAGTTGAAAGCTGGCCTGTTTCTTCTCATTATGTGATAAAAGAAATTAACATTATACAAATACATAAGATTGATGGTGAAGTGGTGATTTACTAAGATTTCACCCTCATGACCAGGGTTTTATTCCACGATTGATTATGAAAAGGTCAGGGGTCATCTGCCCAACTACTTCAGTTTTCCTTGGATACTGTGGTTTCCTCCCTCAGTAAGATTTCCTCCTTCAGTAAGATTTCCTCCCTCAGTAAGATTTCCTCCCTCAGTAAGATTTCCTCCTTCAGTAAGATTTCCTCCCTCAGTAAGATTTCCTCCCTCAGTAAGATTTCCTCCCTCAGTAAGATTTCCTCCCTCAGTAAGATTTCCTCCTTCAGTAAGATTTCCTCCTTCAGTAAGATTTCCTCCTTCAGTAAGATTTCCTCCTTCAGTAAGATTTCCTCCTTCAGTAAGATTTCCTCCTTCAGTAAGATTTCCTCCCTCAGTAAGATTTCCTCCCTCAGTAAGATTTCCTCCTTCAGTAAGATTTCCTCCCTCAGTAAGATTTCCTCCTTCAGTAAGATTTCCTCCTTCAGTAAGATTTCCTCCCTCAGTAAGATTTCCTCCCTCAGTAAGATTTCCTCCTTCAGTAAGATTTCCTCCTTCAGTAAGATTTCCTCCTTCAGTAAGATTTCCTTTCCTCCTCCCTAAGATTTCCTCCTTCAGTAAGATTTCCTCCTTCAGTAAGATTTCCTCCTTCAGTAAGATTTCCTCCTTCAGTAAGATTTCCTCCCTCAGTAAGATTTCCTCCTTCAGTAAGATTTCCTCCTTCAGTAAGATTTCCTCCTTCAGTAAGATTTCCTCCTTCAGTAAGATTTCCTCCCTCAGTAAGATTTCCTCCTTCAGTAAGATTTCCTCCTTCAGTAAGATTTCCTCCTTCAGTAAGATTTCCTCCTCAGTAAGATCCTCCCTCAGTAAGATTTCCTCCTTCAGTAAGATTTCCTCCTTCAGTAAGATTTCCTCCCTCAGTAAGATTTCCTCCCTCAGTAAGATTTCCTCCCTCAGTAAGATTTCCTCCCTCAGTAAGATTTCCTCCTTCAGTAAGATTTCCTCCTTCAGTAAGATTTCCTCCTTCAGTAAGACTCCTCACACATTTTAGTTTGGGCCAGGAAGGGTAATAAGTATAAGTTGGTACAACTTGTTTTAAAATTGTTTTAAGGTAAATCACATTTGCATATGATATACAATATTACATTGTTAGTTCAGATGTATCCATATTCTGTCAGTTCACACAGTCAAATGTATACAAAATAGACTCTGATATCATTCTGCCGTTGTAAAACAAAATTGAATTTTTGTGTATAAAATGGATTATAATTTCCATACAAGCAAAATATTTAATAAAATGAAAAAGAAAATAAGCTTTGCTTTATAAATATGGCCCCAATCACATGAGCGGTAATATCTGTTCTGTTTTTTTTTCCCTTTTCTCAGATGCATGTCGCAGAGTGTTGTGTGTGACCTTGGTTACCTGCCCTTGGTATCAGGTAACACAGCAGGAAAGAGGTGAAATGGCACGGCATAATGTGTTATTTATCGTGTACCTGTCACATGACCACCAGTATCTCGCACCAACCAATCATCATGATCAAGAGAAAGCTTTTGTTATAGATGAGGTAAGAGGAAAAAGAAAAGTTTGAATATGACCAGGGAGTTACCTGCCCTTGACTTGACTTCATGAATTTGTGTTATCTATAGTATTTATCAGCAATAAGTTCACAATATCTTCATTAGTTTCAACAGATGCTGTAATAGTCCTGTATTAAGCCCACTCCCTGACTTTCGGTCAAAGGTGATACATTCACCTCCTGATCCTACGGCTAGTGCTGTGTGATATTATTGAAATACCAATGTACCGCAATGTACAGAGTCGATACAATATAACGGTATGCAGTCCCTAAAAACGGTTATATCACAATGGTTTAAAATATGCATGCTTATCAGTAACAATTTACTATTTTCACAATATTTGTTCACACAAATAACGTAAATTGTTTCAATGTAAAATGGGCTTACGTCATTCTGTCGTTACGTGGTCTTTGAAGCACTTGATCGCCATGTTAAAATTTTCGTGATTGAAATTCTTGACATATATGTTCACAGCATCGGTACTACTAAACACCGATTTTTTAAAAAAAATTTGCACATGAGGTTCATATGTAAGATTATCTAGAATCACATAAAATGAGATATTAAACCTTAATCATTTTGTAATAATACATAGACATGATCGTACTCAACTCTTACGTACATAGCGTCGAGTTACTGGTTTCGGTGATTGTAAGGATAGGAATGAGTACACACTTAAGCTTCTCTAGAAACGATGATATTGTTCAGCTTCTAGTTTGCAGTGCACGTGACACAATAAAATATTCAGAAGTCACCGATTTAGGCACCTCACCGGGGATATATATTTATTCCTAATTTAATGTATTATTATGATATTAATCCATTAAGTCAATATATTGCAATACATACCACAAGATCTTGTTGGATATTGCAATACAGTGCAATACCAGTTTGTCCGCAATACTCAGCACTGCCTACTACAGGATCTTTGATGTCTTGCACCATCTGATAATTCTCCAACTTTTCTGTAATTTTCAGGGCTGGTTGTACGCTGTTGAATTATATCACTTCCTTCACTTCCTGTCACGAGGACGGACAAGGTGTATAGAAGTTCTGTTTGCCCCTAGATCTGCTGTTGTGTACGAGGATGAGGTCTGGCAAAATCTACATCACTTAATGAATTACAGAGATCTTATGGGTAATTTCCTTAACAGAGTCAAATAATTGTTGATAATTATTCTAACTTAGTTGATTTAATAACGGTGTCATGTGACCTTGGTGTTCTTGTCATATGTTGTTATCACCCCTGTTCTGTAACTCTTCTGTCTTGTAATGTAATAAACCTGTTCTATGTGTTGTACGCCATTTTTAGACATTTTCTCATTAAAATGTTGTGTCGAATCGGCCCGTTAAACAATAATGATTACCAATTTGTTTAAATGAATTACTTCTCCAAATATAAATTGTGAAAATAGATATCATTATCTTTTGGTAATTTGAATCTTTCCGTGTTTATTCAGCCAGCTGTTGTTTAAATCCATATAAATAAGTAAATATAGTTGAGCCTTTAGCGTACTATTGATCCATTTACTAAGTGTTACCAGTAAGTGTTTGAATTTATAAATTTGAGCTTTTCATATTTAAGTTTTCTTCTCATTTAAAGGTTTGCAAGGGTCAGTGTTTTCCTGTCAAGGCCAATGTACAGGAAAGATTGGAAAGAAAACTTCCAAAAAAGGACCGTTCAGAATGAAGGAAACGGCAACGTTTCAAGACTTTTGTAATAGTTTTAGGTAATGTCACAGGGAAACATCATTATTCCTTGTTAGAGGTAACATTTTTGTGGTTTGATGAATTTATAAAAAAAAAAAGTTCAATATTCAATTGTTGATCAATTTCAATTGTTGAAAGTGTTATTTTCAAAAATTTCTGATGTATTGGATTTTTAACACAAATTATGGAAAAAATCTGAATTTAAAGGAAATTTAGCATCAAACTCAACCAATCTGTTGTAAAAACGTCTTCATGATCAGACCATTCTATTATTATAAAAAACTTCATTAATCACCAGAACGTTTGGGCCCATTACCCAAAATTCCATTTTCATCGAGATGTTTCTAGCCAATAGTAAGACACCTGTATGCGTCCATTTTGATGTAACTAGTTGCACAAACTTGGTAAAGTCAATCTAATTTATTTCATTTGAATTTCAAATCGAACAACAGTTGAATCTTTGATTTATTCTCAGGTTGATTCATCATCTCTACAATTTGGTGTCAGGATTACCTCCCTTGACTGACATCTTCTCAATTGAAGATTTGCCAGCATTAGCAAAGGAAGGGGCTCAGATGCTGCAGAGACTGTACAAGGTAGGAAGTGTTTATTAAACATTTCCTATGTTATAAATTGTTATACTCCAACTTGAAGCTTAACAGGTGGTATAATGTTTTTAGGTCATCTGACTTCTCAAGTTCCACCAGTGCGATTGAGCCAAAACTTGCATGAAATGATCATGACATGGCACTGACCAAAGTTTGTTACTTCAAACATCCTCGGAATAACCAGAACACCCAGGATGATGATATTTGGCCTGAAGCATGCTGGGATGAAGGTTTACAAAGTTTGTTGAAATGAATAATCTTAACGCACTTTCAAGGTGGTGGCTGAGTGCCCTTGATTCTTAAGTCAAGGTGGAATAAGTTCAAAATTTGAAATCTTGTATTTTATGTCAGATGACTGTTAAGGCCCATGGGCCTCTTGTTGTGTTTTTGGGTGGTCAGTTGGCACAATAGTACACTTAGTTGACCCATTCTACATGAACCAGATCACTTGTCAGATCATGAGGGGTTTCAACAGATACCTGTTTCCTCCCACATGTAGACCTGGTTGGAAGCTTCAATTCTGGCTAATAAAATTGATTAATTTAAAAAAAACAGCTTTTTTTACAATTCTTGTAGCTTCATGAAGTTTAAATATCGAATGTAATCGTCAGTGTTTTTGTCCCATCTGTACATGTTTCTTTGATGTACCTCAAGCAAGTTCACTTATGAAGGTCAATCACCCAAAGGTCTAGGTCACTCACTAAAAATAGAATTCTGTTACATCACTCTAGGAGCTGTATCTATGGACTAATTTTGTTCAAACTTGAGGTTTTTAGCATTAAGGTATAGTCAATGAATTGTAATATGAAGGTCATCTTGCCCTAATGGAGGTCACTTTTTGCTCCAAATAAAAATCTCTGTCAAATGCGAAGTAAATTGATTATAAAAACTTGTTTAGTTCTGCTGATTCGCTCTTGATGTCAGGTTGACATTTAAAATTAAGTTAAGAATATATGATATAATAACATACAACATATTTTTCTTGTTTTATTAGGATCACGACACCTCAAAACGTGACATTTTCAACATTGTCATGAAATGGAACGAGGACATGAAAGATCAACTCTCTAAGTTTAAATATACTGACGTGAACAAAATTGATAAAATCCTTCAGGAGTGGCAGTTTGATGTTCGTCTGGAAGGTCGGACTCTTTTACAGCAAAGTGAGTATTGTACTATTGGGACCAATGGTCCTGGAAATAGGACCCAAGAGATGTGAAATTATTGAACTCTATGTCAAACAGAGGCCTGAACAAGTTCTCAAATAATAACCATAGTATTGAAGAATTACCTTAACAACAGTTTTTGTTTCCTAAACTGTAAGTATACTACCTATTAGAAACTTTAGTCCTAGCTTATGTAAAAAATTTCCAAACAATATTTCTGGTTTTACCTGTTAATTGGTTGGTTACAGGTTTTCTGTCTCATTGACTTGTCCTAATGCTAGGTGTGGTATCGCTGATGAAAGTCAATGTTCTAGTTCTGTGACTCAGTCCTAATGCTAGGTGTTGTATCACTGATGAATGTCAGTGTTCTAGTTCTGTGACTCTGTCCTAATGCTATGTGTGGTATCATTGATGAACGTCAGTGTTCTGGTTCCATGTCCCTGTCCTAATGCTATGTGTGGTATCACTGATGAACGTCAGTGTTCTAGTTCTGTGACTCTGTCCTAATGCTATGTGTGGTATCATTGATGAACGTCAGTGTTCTAGTTCTGTGACTCTGTCCTAATGCTAGGTGTTGTATCACTGACGAACGTCAGTGTTCTGGTTCCATGTCCCTGTCCTAATGCTATGTGTTGTATCAATGATGAACGTCAGTGTTCTGGTTTTGTACCTCTGTTCTAATGCTAGGTGTGGTATCACTGATGAATGTCAGTGTTCTGGTTCTGTGCCTCTGTCCTAATGCTAGGTGTTGTATCATTGATGAACGTCAGTGTTCTGGTTCCATGTCCCTGTCCTAATGCTAGGTGTTGTATCATTGATGAACGTCAGTGTTCTGGTTTTGTGTCTCTGTCCTAATGCTATGTGTTGTATCACTGATGAACGTCAGTGTTCTAGTTCTGTGCCTCTGTCATAATGCTAGGTGTAGCCTCACTGATGAACGTCAGTGTTCTGGTTCTGTGCCTCTGTCCTAATCCTAGGTGTGGTATCATTGATGAACGTCAGTGTTCTAGTTCTGTGACTCTGTCCTAATGCTAGGTGTGGTATCATTGATGAACGTCAGTGTTCTAGTTCTGTGACTCTGTCCTAATGCTATGTGTGGTATCATTGATGAATGTCAGTGTTCTGGTTCCATGTCTCTGTCCTAATGCTATGTGTGGTATCACTGATGAATGTCAGTGTTCTGGTTCTGTGACTCTGTCCTAATGCTAGGTGTGGTATCATTGATGAACGTCAGTGTTCTAGTTCTGTGACTCTGTCCTAATGCTAGGTGTTGTATCATTGATGAACGTCAGTGTTCTGGTTCCATGTCCCTGTCCTAATGCTAGGTGTGGTATCACTGATGAACGTCAGTGTTCTAGTTCTGTTACTCTGTCCTAATGTTATGTGTGGTATCATTGATGAACGTCAGTGTTCTGGTTCCATGTCTCTGTCCTAATGCTATGTGTGGTATCACTGATGAATGTCAGTGTTCTGGTTCTGTGACTCTGTCCTAATGCTAGGTGTGGTATCATTGATGAACGTCAGTGTTCTAGTTCTGTGACTCTGTCCTAATGCTAGGTGTTGTATCATTGATGAACGTCAGTGTTCTGGTTCCATGTCCCTGTCCTAATGCTAGGTGTGGTATCACTGATGAACGTCAGTGTTCTAGTTCTGTTACTCTGTCCTAATGTTATGTGTGGTATCATTGATGAACGTCAGTGTTCTGGTTCCATGTCCCTGTCCTAATGCTGTGTGTGGTATCACTGATGAACGTCAGTGTTCTAGTTCTGTGACTCTGTCCTAATGCTAGGTGTTGTATCACTGATAAATGTTATTGTTCCATGACTCTGTCCTAATCCTAGGTGTAGCCTCACTGATAAATGTTATTGTTCCGTGACCCTGTCCTAATCCTAGGTGTAGCCTCACTGATAAATGTTATTGTTCCATGACTCTGTCCTAATCCTAGGTGTAGCCTCACTGAGAAATGTTATTGTTCCATGACCCTGTCCTAATCCTAGGTGTAGCCTCACTGATAAATGTTATTGTTCCATGACTCTGTCCTAATCCTAGGTGTAGCCTCACTGATAAATGTTATTGTTCCATGACTCTGTCCTAATCCTAGGTGTAGCCTCACTGATAAATGTTATTGTTCCATGACCCTGTCCTAATCCTAAGTGTAGCCTCACTGATAAATGTTATTGTTCCATGACTCTGTCCTAATCCTAGGTGTAGCCTCACTGATAAATGTTATTGTTCCGTGACTCTGTCCTAATGCTAGGTGTAGCCTCACTGATAAATGTTATTGTTCCATGACTCTGTCCTAATCCTAGGTGTAGCCTCACTGATAAATGTTATTGTTCCATGACTCTGTCCTAATGCTAGGTGTAGCCTCACTGATAAATGTTATTGTTCCATGACTCTGTCCTAATCCTAGGTGTAGCCTCACTGATAAATGTTATTGTTCCATGACCCTGTCCTAATCCTAGGTGTAGCCTCACTGATAAATGTTATTGTTCCATGACCCTGTCCTAATGCTAGGTGTAGCCTCACTGATAAATGTTATTGTTCCATGACTCTGTCCTAATCCTAGGTGTAGCCTCACTGATAAATGTTATTGTTCCATGACCCTGTCCTAATCCTAGGTGTAGCCTCACTGATAAATGTTATTGTTCCATGACTCTGTCCTAATCCTAGGTGTAGCCTCACTGATAAATGTTATTGTTCCGTGACTCTGTCCTAATGCTAGGTGTAGCCTCACTGATAAATGTTATTGTTCCATGACTCTGTCCTAATCCTAGGTGTAGCCTCACTGATAAATGTTATTGTTCCATGACTCTGTCCTAATGCTAGGTGTAGCCTCACTGATAAATGTTATTGTTCCATGACCCTGTCCTAATCCTAGGTGTAGCCTCACTGATAAATGTTATTGTTCCATGACTCTGTCCTAATCCTAGGTGTAGCCTCACTGAGAAATGTTATTGTTCTGTGACTCTGTCCTAATCCTAGGTGTAGCCTCACTGATAAATGTTATTGTTCCATGACCCTGTCCTAATCCTAGGTGTAGCCTCACTGATAAATGTTATTGTTCCATGACCCTGTCCTAATCCTAGGTGTAGCCTCACTGATAAATGTTATTGTTCCATGACCCTGTCCTAATCCTAGGTGTAGCCTCACTGATAAATGTTATTGTTCCATGACTCTGTCCTAATCCTAGGTGTAGCCTCACTGATAAATGTTATTGTTCCATGACTCTGTCCTAATCCTAAGTGTAGCCTCACTGATAAATGTTATTGTTCCATGACCCTGTCCTAATCCTAGGTGTAGCCTCACTGGTAAATGTTATTGTTCTGTGACTCTGTCCTTTAGCTAGATGCAGTCTATCTGATGAACCTTGATTTCTGGTTCTGGAGAACAATATTTAGCACAATACCTAATACAAAGATTCATGGTGTACACATTTTTTTGTTTTAGCCCTCCCTGATGATCACAGCAATCTGGTGTCAATAATGGAGAGAATTGGGGGACCAGTGGGAAAACTTGAACCGAGCCAAATCTTGCTGGTGGCCAGGGCAGGAAGTCACATGTACGGATTAGCCACACCGGAGAGTGACATCGATTACGTAGTCATATACGCCGAGAAAACAGAGGTAAAAATTTTAATCCAGGTCACTAAAACCATAGATAGGACAAAAGTACTAGAAACTGATGAAAGATTTATGGTATACCATTTGATTTGCAAATAATGATGAAAATATGTTTACACTTCAATATACATTCACATATCATTGAAGTGTTAAAATTTTTATTTTAAATGTCGAACTATTGCACTGATTTTGAAATCTGCAAAATCATTTGCTAGAGCAAAGATAGTTCAATTGAAAACAAAGCCCCAATATAGTTTCTAAAACCTGAATTGTGTGAGCTTTTGATTTGTTCTCTATAAAAGCATGATGGCCCAAGGTTTTTAATGTCTTTTCAAAATGTAATGACAAAATATAAAACGTTGGGAAAAAACTGATAACTGAGGACTTCTAAGATGGAAATTTCCCAGAAAGCGTTAGATAATGTATAATGGAAGGTCCACACCTCTGCTTTTCATTCATTTGTTTTAAATGTTTACTTATTTAATTGTAAAACAGGATTCGCTCCCTTGTCCCAACATATCGGTAATTAATTCTTATTGTCTGTGTAATACTAATATATCGTGTTATTTATATGAAAATTTTGTTTTGAAAACATTTTCTTGGAATTCAACTTCGAATTACCAGAGACAAAAATAAAATCATTGCTTTAATTGCCTTTTACTTGCTCTTGAAAAATATTTTATTTTGATTATATTTAGTGGGGTTACACTTTTGATATGTAGTCATTTTCAATTCTTTCTTTGTGTTGTCTATTATTGATTAATGTGGATGTTGTGAAAATGAGCCATGAAACTTAACCAGGAATATATGGAGTTATCTGCCCTTGCTAATATAGGCGGTGCTGGGGACATGTAAGGCTTTGAAGGATATTTACGAGAGTCGCGGTCCAACCAAGGATTTTGAATATGGAGCTTACGAGGCGAAAGTATTTTGTGAAATGGTGCTAAAAGGAAGTGTAGTCATATTAGAGGTAAGAAAACTGTAAAACGGTTCAAGAATGTGTTTAATTTTAAGTTAAAGATTAAAAATTCAGTTTTATCAGGTGAAATTGTATATTTTTGTGATGCTCAATTGCATGGTTAAAAAAAAAAATGGTATTTCATGAACACTGTGTGATAAATTAAGCTCAATAAATTTACTAACTTTAACAGTACTTGAGTTTATTCATGGATGAAATGTACCCACGAAATCAAACAAAATTAATTCCAATATGAAAATGAATGGTTTTATAATAATCGAATGATGTTAGTTTTAAGCTTCTTTCATGTTTTCACAAAGTACATACTGTGCAATTTGTTTGTTTTTTTGTGGTTGAAAAAAATAAAATTTCCTAGTTCTAACAAAAGCCTGAAGAAGAAATTACATATTTTTCACAGAGAAAATGAAATGGATTGTGTTTTCCTTATTAATGTTTTTTAGTGGATCTGTTTTTGGCGATTTTATTCCATCTTCTGAAATAGTGCAACTCCGAACTCAAAAATAACTTGAACATCTGTCTGTCCATTCTAAAAATTATTGGATATTAATATAAATGGAATCAATTTATGCTTAATTACAATTTTGAAAAATCTTCTATATCTTGTATATAGAGAAAAAAGACAACTTCTAAATATGGAAAGAATGTGGTTGATAAATTTGAAGATCTTATTTCTGTACATTATACAGTTGGTGTTTGCTGAAGGCCACGAGTATGCCAGTCCTGTATGGAAGGTAAGAGTTTTGATATTATATGACTTATGAACTGTAAATTTTTTGTTATGCCATAAATCTTAAAAAAAAAATATTTATTGAATTTTTATTTATGCTTCAATAAGGCCAGAGACAAAAGCATCAACTTTTACTGTAGAGGGTGGGCATATTACATAACAGTGCAATAGTTTTTGTAAAAATTGTCAGAACAGCAATGGACAAGGGTGGGCTTATTAGCAGATATGGCAGACTTATAGCAAGATACATTCAGTGGTATATCTTAATATTATATACTAAACTTGGAGATTAAAAGGGAATAGAACTAATACAAATTCTCAGAATCCAGCAATGATGATCATACTCATCCGTTAATAAGCCCACCTATATATATTGTAGTTGAAATAGAGATGTCCGCAGTTTTTAGGTCATCTGACCGAAGGGTCTGATGACCTATTGCGATCACCTTTTGTCCAGCGTTGTCCGTCGTAAACATTTTCAACTTCTTCTCAAGTTCTACATGTCTCATTAAGCTGAAACTTACCTGAAATGATCGTGACATAATCCTGACCAAAGTGTGTAAATTTCGGGTTGGTCCAAAATCCAACATGGCTGCCATGGCCGCCATCTTGAAAACACATTTTCAACTTCTTCTCAAGTTTAAAATTTGAAATCTTGTATTTTATGTCAGGTGACCGTTAAGGCCCATGGGCCTCTTGTTATGTAATTACCCTGTGTTGAGCCTCATTCATGCTAAGATGATTGGCTTTCTGAGGTTATTGTGTAATTAACAGGCAGACATAATAACACTATTTTAACCTTGTGACTTACAAAGTTTGTTCTTGTACTGTGTATTATAATAGCATTGTTAGCCAGCATGGATTTTGTAATGACACTAAAAGAAAATTAAAAGGGGGTGAAAACATATTTTATCTGTTTAAATGTTTTTAATCTGAGAGAAAATTTTAATAGTGGCACAGCTTATCAAGGGTTCTAATACTAAAACTTTTGTACAGTGGTATGGTTTTTTTCAAATATTTTTTTTGTAAATCATTTAGGCTAGTGTATAGGATTATGAAGTAAATAATGACAGAAACATTTCTTACATAAAAACTTTCATAGATACTTTTGAACCATCAGGCTCTATGTGAAAAGAAGAAAGCATTCCTGACTGAGTTAGGAATTCAACAGTTCCTTGGTTTGATCAAAAACAATTTCCATCTGTTAAACCAAGAAAAACATAGAGGCACCCCAAGGGACAGAAAGCTTTTTTATCAGGTAAGTTCAATGTTAAACAGAGAGGCACTGAAAGAAGCTGAGTAAATTGGACATACAGTTGTAACATGTGCTTTGACGGGTCAAGTTAATTTTGAAAAAAAAAACATTTGATATTCTGTAATATATTACTGCAAAATGTATGGTGAGAAAACTGCCATTACTGAAACCTGTAACAAATAAATATACTGTAAATTACTAATTTTTGTGGGGTATTTATAATTATTTTATAAAAAAGTGCAACTAGATTTATTGAGCTATATTTATTTATGAAATCAAGTGTCCACAAAAATAGTGTTTTTTGAAAAACCATGAAAATAGATGCTTTTATAGTATATAATGATAAACACTGTATCCAAAATAACCATTATTATACAGACAAACCATATGAAATAGTAACTTTTTGAAAAACCATGAAAATTAAGCACCACAAAAATATCTGATCTGACAGTAGGCATTGATGAGGATAAAATCAGAGATAAAAAGATACAGAGACTTGGAATATACTTACGATATATATTAAATATTTGAAACTATTGAAAATAAATTTCTATTCTGCAGATATTCCACAAAATGGATAGTGTTCATTACATGATGCAAGGAAAGGTGCCACCAGTTCGTTGTTCTGGGGAAGTGAAGAATTACATCATGAGGATACGTACCCAGCCGCTTGACGTAAGTAACAATTCATCCTGGGTCCATCAATTGTCAAAAGTCATTTAGAGAGTCAAATTCAACAATTTCCAATATCTCTCTGTTATTAAATCTGATTGAAAATGTTGATTGATGAATTAGTCCAGTTATGGGAAGCAAACATCCCTTAAGATAATCCATAATCTGATTTATAAGTCCCAGGAGAAATATAACAAATATGACATGTACGAGACTGAGCTCAACTTGAGTCAGAAACAGGAAAATCTTTTAAAATGGCTTATATTATAATTATTGATTTATCTACAGGGAGATCTAGACAGAGACCTGTTGAACCAAACAGCTCACCAGAAATTTCATGAGCTACAATTGGAGCTTGGAGCTCGTACAGAACGTCTGAAGGAAAATATGGACTACACACTTGTTTCTGATTGGCTGATATCAGTACGTGGTATAGAGGAGAGGAAGTAGGGAAACTAAGACTATATCTTGATCTCTGATTGGCTGATATCAGTGAACAGTATATAGGACAGCAAGTAGGGAAACCAGGACTATGTCCTGGTGTCTGATTGGCTGATATCTTGCAGTTCTAAGGACAAAATGTCAAAAAAGTAAGACTACACCTGGTCTGTGATTGGTTAATATCATTTTGTTGTTAAGGACATGAGGACAGAAACTTAGGACAGAAGTAAGTAATGATTAGCCTTGATATGAGGGACATCTAAGGATTTGTCAGAGCTATCTCTTTTTGAAGCCAGATTTTGTGGTGGTTTGTCTGCAGTCTGAAATTATGGATACTTGTCTAAGTGTGTCACATTCATTGGGACAGTTGTCATATTGTGTCTGTAATTCATCTCTCTTTATGTGGGTATTTAAAATATTTTAAATATTTACCCAGGATTAGAAAATAAGAAAAAAATATGTATAAACATGTGCAAATAAATAAATAAATAAATAGATAAAAATATGTATAAATACATGCAAATAAATAAATTAATTAATTAAAGAAATGTATAAATATGTGCAAATTAATAAATAAACACTTAAGTTTATACAAAAAGATGAATTTCAAATATCATTTCACGTATCTCTCTCTCTATATATATATATATATTTATGGATATGGAAAAATACGTTTTTTTTTCAAAATTACTATTCAGAATGTTTTGTATAAAAACAATTGTAAATTCACCTAAAGGTAGAAAGTAATACAAGATGTCTATAAAATTTAAATTTGTTTTGTTGGTAATATTTGATAATGGTTTGTTACCCACAAAACTTTTGTGTAAAACTTGGTTGTAGATGACATCTTGTACGAAGGTCTATGGACCCCTTTATCACCATTAGGGACCCAGATGACTTCTTTCATGAGTTGCTCTCTTTTCATAGATTTTTATGGCAAGGAAAAAAATGTTTGCTTTCTGTTAACTAACTTTGCTTTTGTCTTTTTCTTGACATGCTGGAGTTGTCCATACTAGAAAATACTAACTAATAGTTGGTACTTCTAGAAATCTTTCCTGACAGAGTGAAATTTTATTTCACATAAAAAAAGAATACATTTCTGAATATCGCTGCCTTAACTTCAGAAGTTATTTATAAGACGTATATTTATTCTGAAAGAGATTTTGCCTCTCAATTTTTTGACGTCTTCTCTGCCGGTGTTTACTAACCAATCATTTCTAGTAATTCTTTCTTTTGATAAATTCAACTTCACTTCGAAAAAATTGTTTTCTGAATATCGCTGCCTTAACTGAAAATGTTTATTTCAAGATGTATATATTTTTTTATCGAAACTGAAAGAGGTTTTGCTTTTGTCTTTATATCTATTTCCGGCACCTTCTCTACCACTAAAAACTAACCCAGTTAGTGTTTCTAGGAATTCCTCCTTTGATAAAGTGAAAGTTAACTTGACTTTATAAAAATTTGTTTTCTGATTATCACTGCCTTAACATAAAAAGTATTTTTTAAGATGTATATTTATTATTGAAACTGAAAGAGTTTTTGCTTTTGTCTTTATCTCAATTACCGACATTTTCCTTACCGGTTAAAACTAACCTAGTTAGTGTCTCTAGGAATTCCTCCTTTGGTAAAGTGAAATTCAACTTCACGTTAAAAATTATTTTGTTTGAATATCGCTGCCTTAACTTAAAATGTTTATTTTAAAATGTATATTTATTATTGAAACTAAGAGGTTTTGCTTTTGTCTTTATCTCAATTACCGACATTTTCCTTACCGGTTAAAACTAACCTAGTTAGTGTCTCTAGGAATTCCTCCTTTGGTAAAGTGAAATTCAACTTCACGTTAAAAATTATTTTGTTTGAATATCGCTGCCTTAACTTAAAATGTTTATTTCAAAATGTATATTTATTATTGAAACTAAGAGGTTTTGCTTTTGTCTTTATCTCAATCTCTGCGCCTTCTCTACCTGTAAAAACTAACCAAGCATTTCTAGCAATTCTTTCTTTTGATAAAGTGAAATTCAACTTCACATAAAAGTTAAAAAAGAAATCGACAAACACGGTTATCACTTTAGAATTGCATTAAAAATCATATTAGGTATATTGAAAGATATCTGTTTTAGTTGATATTTCACATTTGAAAAATTGGAAGAGATGTTTATTTATGTAGAATAAAACTTGAAATGCATAAAAATGTATTGAGTGTGTTGCTAATTGTGTCTAATCTTTTCTTTTTCCGTGTTTTCCTTTCTGGAAAATACTAACCTAGTTAGTGCTTCACAGATTTCCTCCTTTCACAAAGTGAAATAAAATTTCACATTAGAATAAAAAATAACTAATGAATATAACTGACCAGTAACCCTTGGTCTAGATGTACCATACTTATTGTCTTTGTTTCTTCTGATTGATTTAAATATCTACAAAACCAAAATTAATTTGTGTCTTTATCTCAATTGCCAGAACCTTTTCTATCGGTAAAAACTAACCTAGTTAGTGTTTATATGAATTCCTCCTTTGATAAAGTGAAATTAAACTTTACTTTAGAAAAAAAATTTGTTTTCTGAATATCGCTGCCTTAACAAAAAAAAAAGTATTTTTAAGATGTATATCTATTATTGAAACTGAAAGATTTTTTGCTTTTGTCTTTATCTCAATCTCCTGCGCCTTCTCTACCAGTAAATACCAACCTAGTTAGCGTTTCTAGGAATTCCTCCTTTGGTAAAATGAAATTCAACTTCACATTAAAATATTATTTTCTTTTGATATCGCTGCCTTAACATAAAATGTAAAATGTTTATTTCAAAATGTATATTTATTATTGAAACTAAGAGGTTTTGCTTTTGTCTTTATCTCAATTACCGACATTTTCCTTACCGGTAAAAACTAACCTAGTTAGTGTCTCTAGGAATTCCTCCTTTGATCAAGTGAAATTCAACTTCACTTTCAAAAAAAATTGTTTTCTGAATATCGCTGCCTTAACTTAAAATGTTTATTTCAAGATGTATGGTTTTGTTTATTGAAACTGAAAGAGTTTTTGCTTTTGTCTTTATCTCAATTACCGACATTTTCCTTACCGGTTAAAACTAAGCTAGTTAGTGTCTCTAGGAATTCCTCCTTTGGTAAAGTGAAATTCAACTTCACGTTAAAAATTATTTTGTTTGAATATCGCTGCCTTAACTTAAAATGTTTATTTCAAAATGTATATTTATTATTGAAACTAAGAGGTTTTGCTTTTGTCTTTATCTCAATTACCGACATTTTCCTTACCGGTTAAAACTAACCTAGTTAGTGTCTCTAGGAATTCCTCCTTTGGTAAAGTGAAATTCAACTTCACGTTAAAAATTATTTTGTTTGAATATCGCTGCCTTAACTTAAAATGTTTATTTTAAAATGTATATTTATTATTGAAACTAAGAGGTTTTGCTTTTGTCTTTATCTCAATCTCTGCGCCTTCTCTACCTGTAAAAACTAACCAAGCATTTCTAGTAATTCTTTCTTTTGATAAAGTGAAATTCAACTTCACATAAAAGTTAAAAAAGAAATCGACAAACACGGTTATCACTTTAGAATTGCATTAAAAATCATATCAGGTATATTGAAAGATATCTGTTTTAGTTGATATTTCACATTTGAAAAATTGGAAGAGATGTTTATTTATGTAGAATAAAACTTGAAATGCATAAAAATGTATTGAGTGTGTTGCTAATTGTGTCTAATCTTTTCTTTTCCCGTGTTTTCCTTTCTGGAAAATACTAACCTAGTTAGTGCTTCACAGATTTCCTCCTTTCACAAAGTGAAATAAAATTTCACATTAGAATAAAAAATAACTAATGAATATAACTGACCAGTAACCCTTGGTCTAGATGTACCATACTTATTGTCTTTGTTTCTTCTGATTGATTTAAATATCTACAAAACCAAAATTAATTTGTGTCTTTATCTCAATTGCCAGAACCTTTTCTATCGGTAAAAACTAACCTAGTTAGTGTTTATATGAATTCCTCCTTTGATAAAGTGAAATTAAACTTTACTTTAGAAAAAAAATTTGTTTTCTGAATATCGCTGCCTTAACAAAAAAAAAAAAAGTATTTTTAAGATGTATATCTATTATTGAAACTGAAAGATTTTTTGCTTTTGTCTTTATCTCAATCTCCTGTGCCTTCTCTACCAGTAAATATCAACCTAGTTAGCGTTTCTAGGAATTCCTCCTTTGGTAAAATGAAATTCAACTTCACATTAAAATATTATTTTCTTTTGATATCGCTGCCTTAACATAAAATGTAAAATGTTTATTTCAAAATGTATATTTATTATTGAAACTAAGAGGTTTTGCTTTTGTCTTTATCTCAATTACCGACATTTTCCTTACCGGTAAAAACTAACCTAGTTAGTGTCTCTAGGAATTCCTCCTTTGATCAAGTGAAATTCAACTTCACTTTCAAAAAAAATTGTTTTCTGAATATCGCTGCCTTAACTTAAAATGTTTATTTCAAGATGTATGGTTTTGTTTATTGAAACTGAAAGAAGTTTTGCTTTTGTCTTTATCTCAATTTCCGGCAGCATTCCTACCGGTAAATACTAACCAAGTTAGTGTTTCTACGAATTCCTCCTTTGATCAAGTGAAATTCGGCTTCACTTTCAAAAAAAATTGTTTTCTGAATATCGCTGCCTTAACTTAAAATGTTTATTTCAAGATGTATAGTTTTGTTTATTGAAACTGAAAGAAGTTTTGCTTTTGTCTTTATCTCAATTTCCGGCAGCATCCCTATCGGTAAATACTAACCAAGTTAGTGTTTCTACGAATTCCTCCTTTGATAAAGTGAAATTCAACTTCACTTTCAAAAAAAATTGTTTTCTGAATATCTCTGCCTTAACTTAAAATATTTATATGAAGACGTATATTTATTATTTAAACTGAAAGATTTGTTGCTTTTGTCTTTATCTCAATTACCGACATTTTCCTTACCGGTTAAAACTAACCTAGTTAGTGTCTCTAGGAATTCCTCCTTTGATAAAGTGAAATTCAACTTCACGTTAAAAATTTTTTTGTTTGAATATCGGTGCCTTAACTTAAAATGTTTATTTCAAAATGTATATTTATTATTGGAACTGAAAGAGTTTTTGCCTTTTTCTTCATCTCAATTTTTTGACGCCTTCTCTGCCGGTGTTTACTAACCAAGCATTTCTAGTAATTCTTTCTTTTGATAAAGTGAAATTCAACTTCACAAAAAATTTAAAAAAGAAATCGACAAACACGGTTATTACTTTAGAATTTCATTAAAAATCATATCAGGTATATTGAAAAATATCTGTTTTAGTTGATATTTCACATTTAAAAAATTGGAAGAGATGTTTATTTATGTAGAATAAAACTTGAAATGCATAAAAATGTATTGAGTGTGTTGCTAATTGTGTCTAATCTTTTCTTTTCCCGTGTTTTCCTTTCTGGAAAATACTAACCTAGTTAGTGCTTCACAGATTTCCTCCTTTCACAAAGTGAAATAAAATTTCACATTAGAATAAAAAATAACTGATGAATATAACTGACCAGTAACCCTTG